CTATCTCTGCCCCGTCTGGAACGGGGATCCCCGAATTTTCCCTGCCATGCCTTGGTCATACCTACTTTTATATTTATAAATTTATTTACTTTTATTTTTTTTGAAACCTATCTAGAACTATTTTATATTATATAATATAATATATAGTATTTTAATATAATATAACATATATTAATAGTTATTATATATAGTCGGGGTGGATTTAGGGTCGGGGTTGGGTGGGATGGACAAATACCATCCCTATCCCCAATTCCTAGAGTTTTGGGTTTCCCCAAACCCTCACCAATAGCCAAAAACCGCCCTGACTAAGGTGGGGGCAGGGCCCCATGGAGATGGGTCAAATTGTCATTTCTACCCAAAACCGGTCCACCAACTCCCTTAACTTCAAGGTTTTTAAAACCGAACCAGACAATGGACCAGTCAAGGTCCAGTTCCCGGGTTGAACAGTCTGACCGTTCAAATCGAACGGATGGCCTATTTTGACAAAAAAAAATAAAAAATGGCCAAACTATTGGATGGTTTGACCGCCCGGGGCAGCGGTTTTCTGACCAAATCAATGGTTTTTGGTGAAATAACAATTCTGGGGTAAAATGGAGGTTCCCGATTTCTCCAGTCCCACCATCCGGTCCGATCCAATTTTGAAAACCATGCTTAACTCTTTCTCTCTCCATGCTTTTCTTAGGAATTCTGGGTCCGGGGGTGGATTGAAACCCTTTTTTTATTCCATCTTTTGCCATCGGATCAAGCATCCACACACGTTTACTGTGGTTAAAATTTAGGAAAGGTAGAGTTTGGAGAGCGGCATTTGGGTGTGAGGTAATCAATTCACTATTAATCAACACCTAATCAATTTTTTCACATAAGCTACCTCTACTCCATGTATCTCTGTTTCTCATCCCTTCCAACTCTATTTCGTTTCTGTCTTTCCCTTCCCTTCCCTACCTTTTCCTTCAAACCAAACATAACCTTAGGTTACACCTATTTATCATATTATTGAAGTGACTTATTTGACTTGGTGTAGGAGTTTTTCCACCAATTTGGCTTGGTGTAGGAGTTTTTATTGTTTTTTTTTTATTTTATTTTTAAATTTTTTGTCAAAATGGGCCATCTGTTTGGTTCAAACAGTTAGACCGTTGGATTCAAGAACCGGACCCCTGACCAGTTCGTTGTCTTAATCAATTTTAAAAACCTTGGAATTGGTAGCTGAAGTGAGATTTCAATCGGTAAAGATTCATACTTCAAAAGATGGCAAAACGAGATAAGTTCAAGAATTGGTTAAACTTGACTAGTCTTTTCCAAGTATTAAGGAATGCTCGGTTGCTAATATAAGGGTTATTGCCTATTGTAAAGAGGCGCAAAGCTGCAAAATCAGGTTGAATATCCAAGGTGATTTTAGTTTGAAGAGAAAGATAGGAAAACCTATAAAAGATTTGTAAAGATAGTCTTAAGGGCAATTTGGAAACCAATACATCTTATTATTATGTCTTGTATTTTTAGCCATGGGATTAAGTGGAGGTCCAAGGGATGATATCTTTTTCTTGTTAATTTGTTTTGTTAGTAGAAAGCAAGAAAGAGCTAATATAAGAAGGAAAATCAGAGCATTCGACAAGGGTTAACTACGAAGGTGAAAAGGCTGAAATTGAGTGTAAGCCTCAATTTGAATTAAAGCGATATCCCATAGCATTGGTCACTCTTTTGCAGATGAAGTTTCAAACCTAAGGGCCCATTGGGTTTACAGAAATAGGGTTTCGAATTGCCATTTCGATTCCAACTGTTTGGTTGGGCGGAATCGGAACCCCATTCCCATTTTTTATGAAATTGCATTCTCCAATTTGAGGGAATGGTCGTTTTCACCCATCCCTTGGGAATGAAATTTTATTCCAGCTAATTTCAATTTCAATTTCAATTCCTGTCTGAACCAAACCAAGCTATGGGAAATTAATAGATCATTCTGATTCTAGTTCTGACAGATTTTGATTCTAATTCTGATTTCAAACCAAACAGACCCTAATTTATATCAAAACTTTTCTCCATAGTGTCTTCTACAAGAATTAATTTCAGTAGTATATTTCACCAGTTTCTTTTAGTATTTAGCAATTTATAGTGAAAATAAATAAGATATACAACAATTATATTTGCAACTATTTATTACTTGCACTTGGGTGCATATTTTTCAAGAATAAGATTATTTATCCCTTGAAATCGGTTTATACAATCGTTGATTTGCATGGACTAAATAAAAATATTATGCAAAAACCATTATATTAAGACTTATAAAATTTTGTTATCATATATTTTCAAAGTCAACGATTTGTTTAAGAGTTAGGGCCTTTTAACCGTTTTGAATATATATATATATATATATATATATATATATATATATATATATATCCCTTCTATTGAAATATTGGCAAAGAATCAAACTAACATAATAACTAAAGGGGTGTTTGGTAGTGGTAATCCATGTTTCGTTTGGTTCTAGAACATGCCACATGGGTTTTGCATCCTTTAAGCCAGTGACTTCCAAAATTGACTGTAGTTCATTTTGAAATGAAAATATCTTGACAATCCAGCCACACTAAAGTATAATTGTTTGGAATGAGTAGGGGTGCAAGTTGAGCGTGGTTAAGCTTGGATGTGGTCAACCTAATCCAGCCCAAATTGTTCAAACCCTAACCCAACCCTAAACTTCGGGTTGAGTTAGGATTAAATTGATTTCAGGTCAGGCTTGGTTGGGTTTGAAACTTTCAACTAGTCATTGGTCTGACATCTCTATTTCTTTTTTCAAGTGTACTTATTTCCTAGATGCTAAGGGTTTATATTAATCCAATATTAACATTATTATGTATAGAAGAACCTATTATCATGTTTGAAGAAAAAACATTTACCTTTATAGTTCTTAACATACAATATACATTCACACACATGTATATAGTATATACATAAATGAATAGATACTTGCAATGAAACATACATAAATATATAGATATATACATTTATGGATGCATAGTTGCATATCCATACATGCATGAATAGTGGATACATATATACATAAGTACTTCCTTGCATAAATACATATTTATATGATATTTAATTATTTATACATGTAAATACGAAGTTAAGCCAAGTTCATATTGACTAACCCTAACCCAACCTAAAGTTAAATTGGATTCATACTTTTCAACCCTAACCCTAACCAAAACTTCAATCCAACCCTACATTTTTTGATTGGGTTCAGGCTAACCTGGCCCATGTTGCAACCCTAAGAGTAAGCCATGCTTTGATAATTGTGTTATCTATGATTCCTTAATTTTTTATTTTATTTTTTATCATATTATTAATTAATATTTATTATTTTATTATTTCTTAAGTTATGAAACACACCACACCATAGGTTGTGTTTCTACCAGAAATATTTTGGTTTGATCAATATAAATTTGACATACAATCGTTATTTGAGACTATTTATATATGGTTGAAATGGCATACCTTAAAAATGAGTTTGAGAAGCTGTTACTAGAAACATCAAATTGGTGTTTCTTTCACAAGGCAGTGAAGTCTAATCGTTCCAGCTGAAATAATTCTCAATACGCTCCTCACACTGACGTCACAGTATGTCCTGCGCAGACAGGAACATCTCATGTATTTGCATTTATTATTCATGGGAGATTTCCCAATACATCCCAATTCTTCTCACATGTGATGTGACAAAATATCTCTCACCAACTTGTATTTATCAGCCCAAAACCTTTCAAATAGAAGCAACAATGATACCAAAACACACTATGCCAGGGCTGGGGTGGTATGTTTCAAGATGAACCACTCTTTTTCCATAAACCCCAAAACAATGACTGACAACCTGTTGATAAACTCTAATCATTTTTTAAGTATTGACCATATAAATAGACAACACTTTGAGCCATGACCGTACTGCATGTATCAGTTTTTGAACTGAACAATATATTAAATACAGGAAATTTCAACCATCTGTAATATTAGGTGTGCAATAATGGTCCAAGATGGTAGTGGAATTAAAACAGAAGAGTATCGCTCCTTTTACTGGCTTGATTATTACAGCGTAATAATACTTTCAACTAGCCTGAGCCAATGTAAAAACTATGAAACAAAATTGTAACTATACCAAGGATTGAAATATTGATACGGGACATATCATATTGATATTGACCCAAGGTTCAAAACATCGTTACGCCTGATATGCCGATAGAGGCATATCAGGCAGTATCAATAGCTTTTTTTTGTTTTTTTTTTATTCAAATTTGGTTCAGAGGGATCGGTTTAAGGTCTGTCCACCCCCTGAACTGGTCGAAACCCCGATACACACTCTGTAGGGGTGTAACAGGAAGCTCCCCATACAATCTGATATGTGTTGATACATTGAACCTTTTATTGACCACACCCGATATGAGATACACTACGACTAAAGATGTATCCTATCAATTGTGTATCAGGCCAATGATATGAACCTAGACTGCCTAACACACAACACACCTTAACTTTAAATCAGCCCATAAACCATTAAGCCATCTTAAGTCTCATGTTCAATGTTATGAAAACCAGACCGGACCGGTCACTTGAACTGGTTGGACTGTGACCTGTCCCTGGCCGATCCAAATTTTTCATTCATATCCATACGTATCTAAACGTTTCCATATTTTTCAACCATATACATACATTTTAAAGCATACTTATATCCATATCCATTTAAGTTATCCAATTTGATACCCGGTAATCCTTAAATTATACTATACAATGCTTAATTTTAGACATGCTATGTTTCCCTACCTTTCCCTACTTTTTCCTTCAAACCAAACACAGCCTAAAGGAACCAAGAACGTGAACTTGAATACAGGATGCCGATTCCTGATATGATATCGATCCCCATGGATGAACCATCAAATTGGATGGCTATTTTTTTACTTTTGTCCAGTCCAAATACAGCAGCATTTGCAATTCAGATACCGGAGGTGAGCCAATAATGGTTCTACTTTCATAAATGGCATTTTCTTTATGATAATACCGTTGAATAATCTGTACAACAAAATCCAAAGAATCTCTACAGTTCAACTAAATGGATTCACAAATATCCCCTTTTGACACTGGACAATCGCATTTCTGAAAAAGTTCATCCTCGATTGCAACTCTACCTTTGTATTAGGAAGTATCCTCTGTTCCCGTACTAACACAAACAATCATACATACTGGTAACTTTTACAAAAGGAAAAAGAAAATAAAAATAGATCAACGTTAGTTAAAACAGAAAAAGTAGCAAGAACCCAAGTCTCCTGGAAGCATTCGTCCACTGCCACAGCATCAATGCAGCCTTGTCAACTCTTCTACTCTCTTGCAGAGCTCTTCCACTGAAACACACATTGCCTTTGAAATCTCTTCCATTCGAGTCCGGCTAAGATCAAGGAATGACTCTATTAAATCTCCGTCCAAGAAATTCTTAGCATCTGCTGTCCTCTTCTCATTGTTGAATGACCTCCACTGCTCATGGCTGAGCCCTCCTACACCCTTTATGACCTTCACTAGGTTTGACTGGAGCTTCTCCAAGAAGATGTACTGGTCATGTGGAAGTGAGGCAATGACACCAATCACACCATTAACAGTGCCAAAGATTACCGTTGGAATCTGACCAACATCAGAATCTGGCAGTCGCATAACCAGGGAGCCATGTCGGAACCGGTTAACAAACTCACCAAGATGGTATTCTCCAACGACCTCAAGGCGGCCCCTCTCTTCATCAGTTGCACCCTCACTGTTTTTCCTGACAGTGAAGAGATTGAAATTGTTCTCCGCACCAAGGTAAATGTCATCATCAAGAATCTCAACAGCTGACATCCAGTTAGCATTGTAGTCACGGGCTCTTTCCTCGATTGCACCCTCCTCGTGCTAGATAAAAATGTACCAATCACACTTTAGAGGAAGAAATGCAAAGAAGAAAGTAAAGCATATCTTTCAATTACAGCAAAATGTAAATGATTGGGCCAAAGATATAATAAATCCTCCAGTGCTGTCCGCACCACTAGCACAAACATGTTGCATGCATGCCCACCAGGGGGAAGGGGAGGGGAAACAAGGCCAGTTGTCTAACCACAGAAAGAGGTTGAATGGGTCAATCATTTGAATCAATGATACCATTGCTTCTGTAAGCATGGCTTAAAGCGGTCTTGCCTAACCTACAGATCAGCCAAGTCAGCTGGATTTACTGGCTGCACTCCTAAGACCTTTAAGAAAATGGATAAGACCATTCAAATCAATGATAAGTTGAACATATGTGCATCATCTAAATAAGGCTAATAACAATCTTTCTGACATCATGATAATATCAAATAGCAGTTTTTATGTATCTAGAAGCCTCAGTGTACCTTGTATATTAATAATGAGATTGATTTCATTAGATCACCAACAACAATGAAATCTCCACGAGTTTGGACATACAATGCAAGTATATGACCATGGTGTCCACATTCAGACTGCAACTCATGTGATCCATCATCCCGTAACATCCACTTGTACAATTGAATCTTTTGATTTATAGCAGCAAGAAGCTTCCCATTGAAGGCATTCAAAGAGTAAACTGCACCCTTAGTTTCCTTCTCTGCAATTAACTGTAACTTCCCATCCTCAACTATGAACACCAGTATTCGCCCCTACAATTGTTGGGGATCATTTATCAAGACAGAGAAGAATGAAAAAAGGAGATAGAATGGTATCTGAATTCAATTCTAGAACTTGAACAAATTGGTTATCAGATAATCTAAAATAGTATGAATATAACAATCATTTAGTACGGAAAACCTACTTACCCTCCAGAAAATTTGTTGAAAATATCATTATTTTATAATTTGGTAGATAAAAGCATTTTAGTACTGACAACCAACAAATTTCTATATATATATATATATATTTTGATCAATAACAGAAATTTATGAAGCTTTAGATACAATAAGGGGGAGATAAAAAGTCTTAGCTCCCCATCAGCACATTACAATGAAAGGACATTGAAAATTAGCCCAAAAGATAGATTCCCTATTCACCCCTTGCTTAGCCAACTCATCTGCAAAAGAATTAGCGGTCCTCTTCACCCAGCTGTATTGTATCTCAATGCCCCTACACAGCCATAAGAATTTTTCTTTTCATTATTGTAACTCCACAAACCACTGTCCTCTTTCTTCAACCAGCTAATCACACCTTTGAGTCGCCTTCCAATATCAGCCGACTGATATTTAATTCCCTTGCTCTTTGAACTCCTTCCATAGCTGCAAGGATCTCAGCCCTAAGAGAGTCTCCTTCTCCAATGGGGCCTGAGAACGAGGCCATAACAACCCCAATCCCAGAGGGTCCTGGATTCCTTAGGCTACTGCCATCAAAGTTCAATTTTATAAATCCAGAGGGAGGAGGGGATCACGAGGGACTAAGAGTCCTCTTACACAAAGTAGAGGTTGCTATCTCTTTCCAGTTTCTTAACAGGTCAGCTATAGGAAAGTCTGAAAACAGTTCCGTAGTTTTTAGCCAGTGGGCAGCCCTTAAAAGTATTAGGTCTAATAGGTCTTCCAGGGATCATTCTTTATCTGAAAAAATTCGAGAATTTCTTTCCTCCCACAGAGACCAACACACGGCTGCCCTAATACACCTCCACATTATCTTCCCTCACTTCTTAGGCCATCTGAAAAACGAAGAGGAGAACAAACTTTGGACACTTTCGGGAGGGTTCCAAGAACACCCAAAGCGGGAAAGTACCCACTCCCAAACAGTTTTAGTAACCTTACAAGAAACCATAAGGTGGTAACCGGATTCACCATCGTCTTTACAAAGAGAACATCTATTAGGAAGTAAACAATAATTGGGTCTCTTTTTCTAAAGTAGATCATTTGTATTTACTCTTTTCAGGAAAATTTTCCAACAAAATAAACCAACCCGAGGGGGAATGGGCTTGCTCCAAATTTCCTTAGTCGGGAAGGATAAACCAGGAGGGACCAATGGTTGAGTTAAGGTTTCAAAAAACGAAGCACAAGAGAAGGTTCCTGAGGTGGAAGGGGTCCAAATTCTGGTGTCTTCCCTATTAGGATCTAGGAAAAAATTCTCGAGGATGGCTAACAAAGGTAAGAGGCTGTCCAAGTCTGTATCCCTAATTGCCCTTCGCAGGCCAAGGTTCCACCCAAAACCTGAAGTGGAGTCTGAAGGACCTAAAAAAGAAGAGATAGGTTCATTTTTCAAATCTGATAGAGCATACAGGGAGGGAAACTGGTCCTTCAGAGGTGAAACCCCAACCCAAAGATGTTCCCAAAATTTTATACGATTACTAGAGTTGACACCGTACCTGATCCAAGGGGAGAAAGCTGGAAGCAGATCATGGATGGATTTCCACAGAGAAGCAGCTGTAGCCCTTGCCACAATTCCAGAATCCCAGTCGTTGTCTTCTAGCCCACGTATGCTAGCCATGATCTTTGTCCACAATTTTCCTTTTCCACTATAAACCTCCACAACCATTTTCCCAACAACGCCATATTCCCTTTCTTGATGTTTCCAATCCCAAAGCCTCCAAGATTTTTACATATAATTACCACCTCCCATCTCACCCTATGATCTCTCTTCTCCTCTCTAGGCTCCCACAGAAAATTCCTCATTAATTTTTCTAATAAGTTGGAGACCTTAGTGGGGATCTTAAACACTGACAAATTTCTCCACTACTGGAAAGATAATTTCTCTTCCAAGACGCAAGCCTCTTCTCAAATCTCTCCACTACTGGAGTCCAAAAGCTTTCGTTCTTAGGATTATCTCCTAATGGGAGGCCCAAGTACGTCAAAGGCCAATTTGATATTGCACAACCTAGCACACCTGCATAATTCCATAACTCCCTCTCCTCCACATTCGCCCCCACCACACAACTCTTATCAAAGTTCACCTTGAGGTTAGACATCTGCTCAAAGAGTTGTATTGCTAATTTTAAATTCCGGATCCGGCTTATATTCCAACCCTCACAAAACAAAATTGTGTCATCTACAAACTGGAGATGTGTCAGTGGTACCTCCTCCCTTCCAACTCGCCACCCTTTTATTAGATTCCTCAAGTCTGCTCTATGTATCAATCTCCCAAATACATCAGCAATCAAGGTAAAAAGAAAGGGAGAGAATGGGTCTCCTTGTCTTATACCTCTCGAAGCAGGAAAGAAGTCAACCACTGTTCCATTCACTAAGATAGAATAATGACAAGTCCTAATTCAACCCCAAATCCATTTACACCACCTTTCTCCAAAGCCAAAGCTTCTCAACACCTCCACTAAAAAAAGATCAATCCACTAGGTCATAAGCCTTCTCCAAATCCAATTTGCAAACCACTCCCTTCTTCTTAGATTTCCTAAAGCTCTCCAAACTCTCATTTGCAATGAGGATCTGATCAGCGATCTGCCTTCCCTCCACAAAAGCTCCTTGGTTGGGAGCAATAAGAGGGAAGGACCTTCTTTATCCTAAGAGACAACACTTTTGCAATTATTTTATACAAGCTATTCACCAAACTGATAGGTCTGAAATCCTTAGGTTGTGATGCCTCTTTCTTCTTTGGGGCCAAAGCAATGAAAGTTGAGTTCAGGCTTGGATTAATTATTCCCCTACTATGAAACTCCTCAAATACTAACCTAAGATCCTTCTCCACGATATCCCAGCAATCCTGATAAAAGCCATTGTAAAACCATCTGGGCCTGGAGCTTTTGTCCTATCCATTGAGAATACTACTTCCTTTATCTCTTTCGGATCAAACCTCTTTTCCAGCTACTCTCTGTTCTCTGCACTTAGAGTCGGCCAATCCAAACCCTCCAACCACACCCTCTCATTCAAAGGGCTTTTAAATATAGATTTGAAATGATTTACTAAGGCCTCTGCTATTTCTGCCAGGTTTGACAAGACTGCTCCTTCTACTTCCAAGATATTCAAAGGCCTCTACTATTTGAAATTTCTATATGGTTGATGACTTGATGTAACTAAAGATGGCTGCAATTCAGGCTTCCACCGATTAAGTAACATATATTATAAGTGATTACATTCCATGCACAACTTATTTCTTCATAGATTTCTATATTTTACTTTGAATTCCCAAATTATCAAAATTTACAATTTAAAGTGTGATGGAAGAAAGCTGTATAATCTCTTGAAGATCTTAATGATTGGTGACCTCAGCCATTTAACCTCAACAGTTTTTTTTTTTTTTTTTTGATAAATAACAGAGATTTCATTAATTGATTAATTGTTGAGAAAACATCCAATGGGAGCTAAAATAACTTAACTCCCTACAAATGTCACTAAAGCCAAAAAACAGAAAAAATTACAGTTGAGCCCAAAAAACAGAGCTCCTATTCACCCCTTGTCTAGCTAATCCATCTGCAAAAGAGTTTGCATTTGTCTTTATCCAAGTGCATCGAACTTCCATATCTTTTGTCAACCAGTTGTATTTCCTCTTTTCATTGCTGTAGCTCCACAGTCCTGAGTTTTCTTCTTTTAACCAATTCACTACAGTTTCAGAGTCTCCTTCTAAGAACCTCAACAGTTATTCCCTTGATCAGTAGTTGAAACAGGTCATGGAAGATATAATTGAGTCTACTGATCAGTAGTTCAATGATCAGGATCAGTGACAATAGCTTCTGGGAAACATGGGACTGTTTACAGTTGGGTCAAAAGTAGATGGAATATCCCAAATGCATTACATGGAAACAACCATTATGTAGGAAGTGAAACCTATGTTGGATGGTTGATATGATACCTATTAAGGTTAACTTGAACCAGTTTAGGTTGAGCATTTACTAAATTTTGAATGTCTCTATTCCTAGGTCAACGCAGTTGAAGTTCTCCAAATTGGGCAACCTGATTTGCACCTAGTACCTACCATTTCACATGTCCTACCAAATAGATCATTAGATGAGAAGATCAACTTTATTTATTAGCCCGATCTCCTTACTCTTTTGGATATTAATACAAAAATATGAAAATCTGAATGGTGAGTTGCACCTAGTACCTACCATTTCACATGTCCTACCAAATAGATCATTAGATGAGAAGATCAACTTTATTTATTAGCCCGATCTCCTTACTCTTTTGGATATTAATACAAAAATATGAAAATCTGAATGGTGATTACAATCTCATTGAGTTTATTTAAAAGATACATATATATATATATTTCTGTTGTTAGGCATGAACTTAACATTACATGGGAAGCTTTTGATGATGAGAAGATAACATATCTTTCCCCTGCAGGAAGTTTCACCTATACTAATCAGACTGTAAAACCACCTTCAGACAATAAACCAAGAAATTCAAACTTACCTTGGTTGGCTCATTTTCCTCAGGCAGAACATATGCAGTACCAACACAATAATACACATTACTATCATCTGCGAATGAACAGCTGAGGATGGAACAGCCATACTCAAATGTATCAAGTGGATAGGTTGATATGAACTCCAATGTCTGATCATCTAACAAGCGAACGAAGTGCATTTCAGATTCCTCTGTGCTTGACTGACCATACTTCAAACTACAGATGGCAAAGGTCCGAGTCTTTTCTTGATGACAGATACGCCGTGCATGCTCCCCAAGAGGAACTGAGCGGATGTGAAGCTTTTGGATGTCATCAATGGTACCGATTGTGAGCTCACCTTCTTTTGCAATGGCAAGGCTGTGGACAAAACAATAAGGAACATCATTATTCCTTTTGCTAATAGTTTTTCAAACCAAGTAATTTTTCTTTATACTTCTGTCCAGCAAACATCAATGAAATTTTTAACACTAAGGCTGAGTTTGGAATTGGTGTAAATCAAGAACGATGTAAAAGTTTATGCCGGTTCGATTTTGTCGGCGTTTGGAAGTATGTAATCATGATCGACGTAAAACTCCACTCCGATTCAGCTTTGCATGTGTTTGGATGGAGTGGAGTTTTACGTCGTGAATCGGTGTAAAACCTCATCAAACGTAAAGTTTTACATCGATTATCGATGTAAATACTACACTGATAAATTTTACACGGCATGGGCTTGGATTTTCGGTCATTGGGCTGGGCTTGGGCCCAAGAAATCGGGCTTTTATATTTTTTGGGTTGGACCCGAGCCCGGCCCAACTATACACATGTATATATATATATATATACACGTTTGTATACATATTTACCTATTTACATACATATTTTGCATACATATATTCATATTTGCATAAATACATATATATGTATAATTTTAGAGTGGGTTCATTGACCAACCCAAGCCCGGCCCGAGCCCAACCCGAGTTCATCAAATTACAATGCGGGCTGGGCTCAGGTTGGGAAAATCGGGCTTGACCTTGGGCTTGGTCCAAACTCGGGCCTTAAGCCCAAATTTTAGGGCCAGGCCCAGGTTGACCCTAAACCAGGTCGATGTAAAACTTTACACCGATCACATCACACTTTTCAAAAGTCATCGGTGTACTTTTACACCGATGACGTTTTACACCAATTCCAAATGCAGCCTAAGTATTATTTTTTGTTGATATAAATTGAACTTTACTGTTAGGACCAAGACAACAAGATGTATAGCATTCTTGTAAAAAGAAACTTCAACATAGAAGTCTCAATAAAGGTAGCATAGCTTAGTTAACGCTAACAAGAGATTTGAACTTCAAACAAATTGATTGTTGAAAGGATAGATAAGCTAGTAGTTGGATGGCTAAAGGACCCAAACTTAGTAATCTGGACATATAGAATAGAGAGGTTATCAAGAGATTCAAATGGCTTACTTCCAATATGATCGTGAAGATTCAATAGGAAAGAAGATTGGCAAATGAGATGGCAGATATACTAGCTAAGCAAGGGATGAATAGGGATCATTTGTATTAGGCTCAGTTATAACTCTGTATTTGTGAGGTTGCATCTCATGCCTCTAGTTGGGTTGGTTAGCATGCTTGTGAAGAAAACTGAAGAGAGGAGAGCTTGAGAGTTCGGCAATGAGGGTTTGAGAATGAGAGTTTCGAACCTACTCTCTCTCAGCACCCTAACACTATTTTATTAAGATAGATTTGAATAATTGGAGGCCCTTAGTTGGGCAAGAAATTACAAAGAACTTAATATAGACAAGATGGGCCCAGAATAAGGCCCATTACAGAAAAACATAAATAACAAGAAAGAATAAACAGCCTATGGGCCATTCGGCCCATCTTCTCTACACTCCCCCTCAAGTTGAGCATAGATGTCAATCATGTCAAGCTTGTTGGTATCATGCTTAAGTTTTGCCTTGGGAATGCCTTTGGTGAGAAAATCTGCCAACTGTCCTT